ACTATACTATATATGTAATTATACAGTATAGTTGTAATAATGAAACCCCAAAATACCCCCAAAACCTGTTCTGATTATCAAGGCCGCTACATTAGGTCGGGCTTTGTGGTTTGGGGGTTTCCAGGCTGAGGTCTTTCCAGTCACCTACGCAAAGCACAGCATCCAGAGCCCCATGCGATTTCCTCGATTTGAATGCATCGTAGGCCCTAAACCATAAACCCTAAACCCCAAACCCGCACTTTCCGACCCCCATTTCTCGAAATCCCAAAACCCGGAATCCTTGAAACGCCGATTGCTAAATTCTCAGCCCTCTTTCACCCCAAGCCCACAAATCCCCAAGCCCCAAAATCCACAAAACCCCGTTTAGTAGCCTTGCAGTGGTGCCCTTTTAACCCATTCAGTACCCTTGTAACAGTGACCCCTGTGTAGTAGCTTGCCTAGCCCTGTGGACAGGAGCCAGTAATCTCACTTCGCCTGGACCCCCTTCAGACATGGCAGCCCCTACCCGTAAACCCGTGACCCCTACGAACCGTAAACTCCACGCCCCTACAAGCCCTCTATTCTGCTGCAGCATTGGCTTTCAATCAGTGCTTGCCACGGTGCACGCCTGGCCGCGATGGTCTTACTCATTACTGCAGCTCTGGCTTCCATTGTCAAGTCCAGTCAGTGTTTTTTATGTAGAGGTCTGAAAAGTTCGCAATTAATCGTATCCCCCTACAGCTCCTACGAGGTTATGCTGTAATATAAGCCAAAAGTATGTTCAATCCATTACTTTGTCATAGTTGGGTAACATTTTACATTTTTAAGGGTACTTAAACCCAATAAGGAATATACATTTAAATTTCTAATACTACCCCAACCATGAACTAGATTAAGGGCAGCTGTGCCTTGGGGGCTTTCGGGTTCCCGTGCTTGTGTCTGAAGTTCTCGGCAGCTTTATGGTGTCGGGTTTCGAGTTTAGGGTTTAGGGTTTAGGGTTTAGGGTTTAGGGTTTAGGGTTCAGGGTTAAGGGGAACGACATGGCATCTTGATTCAGATTTGCCAGCTTACGGGGTCGAATTTCCTTGAGCCCCCTAAACTTTTTTGTGCGCAGGTTGAATAAGTGTCGAACTTGAAGTAATCCGTCGCGCTGCGGCCAGGGTGCTATTGTTTCGGCGACTTGCACAGCAACCGCAGCCCTTGCTGGTGCCAGGGCCTCGGCTGTGGCCATGATTGCTTTCCTGGGGCACATTCGGCTTGAGTGCCTGGTCATTGTGTTTGTTTTAGACTAATTTAAAAAGGCTCCCCATTTTGCACACTCTAGAAGATGTTGGAGCCCTGAAGTAGGGGTGGAATAATTAGTAGCAGCATCCCCCAATGCAACTACACCATAACACTAGACGTGCCCTAAAGCCATATGCTGATTTTAAAGCCCAGATGTTACCTTCGAAGACGCAGAAACCTTGAACGAGACTGGACAAAAGCAAGGACTTGACTGAGGCAGACGGGCCGAATTCGTCGGGTCACGGGGTTGTTAGTACAGTTTAACTACATTGAAACAGTCATTGGAGACCCCTAAACCCTAAACCCTAAACCCAAATCCCTAAACCCTAAACCCTAAATCCTAAACCCTAAACCCAAATTCCTGAACCCTAAACCTTAAATCCTAAACCCTAAACCCAAATCCCTGAACCGTTACGACTTATTACAACCCCCATGCTACCCGAAACCCTCCGAAGCCTCGCCCCCAAGTGACTTTCGTCCTTCCCCGGTAGCGTTGTAAGGTTGTTTGGGGTTTGGGTTTGCTTTTCCGAGTTCGTGTCTACGTGCACGTAGGGTTTGGATTTCGAGTTTAGGGTTTTGGCCTATTCAACTCCGTTTGAGGATGTTCAGTGCTTTGAGCTATATAACCCCAAACCCTAAACCCTAAACCCTAAACCATAAACCCTAAACCCTAAACCATAAACCCTAAACCCTAAACCCTAAACCCTAAACCCTGAAGCATTTGGATGTGGCCTCTGGGAGTGTCCTGGCTTGACACAAAAAGTGCCCTGAAGAAGCTGCAAGCCTCAGCCCAAACCAGCAGAACCCAAAGCCTTCCATTTCTTCGTGAACCCATGTTGGGGCCTTAATAATCATAGTAGGGTTTGGGGGGTTCCTTACTCTAATTTATAGTATAATGGGCCCCAAGAGGCCTTAATAATTATAGTTGGGTTTCGGGGTTCCTTATTATAATTATAGTTTAATGGGTCCCAAAACAGTACTCTAATTATCAAGGCCCCTATATTAGATATGGATGCCTTAAACCCTAAACCCTAAACCCTAAACCCTAAAACCCTAAACCCTAAACCCTAAACCCTAAATTCTAGTTGTTTAGACTCTAGGGTTTTCGGTCTTCGGGTTTAGGTTTACTCGGTTTAGGGTTTTCGG